CGTTTACATCATAAAAACAAACTAAAGTTTTAATCGGTTACTAAATATAAAATAAATAATTATTGCACTTTAAGTATAAATTAAGAGTTAACAGAAAAACATAGCAAGCTGTTTAATATTTTAAATATTTGTTATTAATGTTTAAATTTAATAATATGCTAAAATATTTTCTTTTACTTTTACTCTTGTGTATGGTATTTAAAGTTCTAATCATAAATTTTGTTTTCATTCTCAAATTTGCTTTATATATTAGTGGTAAAAGTAAAAATTATTATGTTTTTTTTTTTTATTTAGCAAATATTCTTTAGTTTTACATTTGGTTTAATTATTATTTGGCTTAGTTAGCTGTAGATTTTTGTTTTTTTTTTTTACTTTAATTAAGTTTTAAGTTGAAATAAAAAAGGGGGAAAAATAAATATTTAGTTTGTACATGATGTTGTTTTGGTTTTTAGGGGTAAACTTTTTTTCTGGAGGAATTTTAAAGAATTTTTTTAAGTAATTTGGTACCAAAACAGAAGTTCATTTTAGAAACTTTTTAAAATTTATAGAATTTTAAGTTTCTTATTAGTGAAAATGCTTTATAACACCATTGCAATGGGTCTTAACAGATTATAATGCCATTATAATTAGTTATATTTCATTATAATGCTTTATAATACCATTATAATAACTCATAATGCATTATAATAACATTATAATAAATATTAATGCATTATAATAACATTATAATAACTCAGAATGCATTATAACAAGACGTATTACATTATAATACCATTATAATAAATCATAATAAATCAGAATGCATTATATTGCCATTATAACAATACGTATTACATTATAATACCATTATAACAAGTTAAAATGCTTTATAATACCATTATAATAAATCATAATGCATTATAATGTCATTATAATAACTCAGAATGTATTATAATAACATTATAATAAATCATAATGCATTATAATGATATTATAATATCTCAGAATGCATTATAATACCATTATAATACATCATAACTTATTATAATGCAATTATAATATCCACTAAAGCATTATAATGTTATTACAATAACTAAAAATGCATTATAATACTATTATAATAAGTCGTAATGCATTATAATACCATTATAATACATTGTACGACGTGATGAGACCGTTATAGTAAGTTATAATGCTTTATAATACCTTTATAATAAATCATAATGTATTATAATGTCATTATAATAATTCAAAACGCATTATAATGATATTATAATAACTCAGAATGCATTATAATAAAATTATAATTAGTTATTATATATTATAATGACATTATAATAACTTATAAAGCATTATAATAACTTTCTAATAAATTAGAATTCATTATAATGCAATTTTGATATTTCTTAATGCATTATAATAAAATTATAATAACTGAGAATGTATTATAATACTATTATAATAACTTTTAATGCAATATAATAAGTCGTACTTCACAATGATACCATTATAATAGTTTATAATGTTTTATAATAACATTATAATAAATGATTATGCATTATAGTAATCCTTAATGCTTTATAATGTAATTATAAAAACCCTTAATGCATTATAATACATTATATTTGAAATTTTTTAAAATTTGCTAAAGAAAATACCCCTTTTTAAAAAAATTTAACTAAGACGTTAATTAACTAAAAATGTTTAAAAAGTAAATAATTGTAATATATTTTTTTTAATGTGCAAATATAATTATTGTTTTAATTTTTGGTTTTTTAAGTTTTTTTAATAAGTTGCTTTTTTTGTTTTATAAGTTTTAATTTAATTAATTAATATATAAGTTTTTAATTTATTTTGTTTAATTAATTATTTGTTAGCAAATACCTGTATTTATTAAGTTTTTTTTTTTATAATTATTTGTAAGCAGCTAAGTCTAAGTTGGGGTTTCTTTATTAAATATTATAATTTAAAGTTTTTTGTTTTTTATGTTTGGTTTACAAAACTTATTTTTTTCAAAAAAATGTAAACTAATTCAAGCAAAAAAAATTGGAATATTTAACAAAATACTGTTTTAGTAAATTAACAAAAATGTTTTAAGTATAAAAATGGTTTTATCTTAATTTTTTATAATAACAAAAATATGTGTTTTTTATAACAAATTTGTTTTTTTTTGGTTTAATTTATTATTAATTATTAATAATTATAATATAGTTTTTTAAATATTTTAATAATAATAGAAAAATGATATATTGTTTGTTAAACCTTTAATAAGTTTTTTATGTTTTTTGTTTAATAAAAAGGTTTTTTTTTAAAAAATGATTTTGTTTTTTTTTTGTTTAATTAATAAATAATATATATTTTTCCTATTATTAATATTTAATAATATTGTTGTTGTGTTTTTTAATTTTTATATTTTGTTGTTTGTTTTTTGCCCTACCTTCTATATATATAATAATATATAATATATATTTTTTTATAATAAATTTTTGTTTTTAATATTTTGACTTAATCATTAATTAAATTCGAAATTTTTGTTAATTTTTTTTCTCATTTCATCCTTTTCATACTTTTTGTTTTTAATTAATATTTTGTTTTATTATTTAATTACTAAGCTAAAATGCTAAAAAGTTTTACTCCTGCTGCTTAATAACGGCTTTTCTTTACTAATTTATTATAATTTAATTATTATTAATTATAAATTTTATCCTTTTGTTGTTTAATTTTTATTCTTGTCAGTTTTTCTTTGTTTTATTTCAATTTATAACAACAATTTTAGTTTTTTGATAAGTTTTTTTCATTTTTTGTTATAATAATTTCATAAAATTATTATTTTTTTTAATTTAATTTTCTACTTGTTTTTTTAATTTTACTTGTTTATAAATTCCCATTATAATTTTTTTGTTGTTTGTATAAAAATTATTTTTGTTTTACTTAAATATTTTTTTTATTTATTTATTTTTTGTTTTTGAAAACCCAGATCGTTTTTGGTCACTTGCCAGTCATTTTTTCTTTAATATATATATACTTTTTGTTTATTTAAATAAAAATTTTTAAAGTTTTTTTTTTATTATTTTTAATATATTTTTGAGATTTTTTTTTTTTTTTTGGTTTTTACTTCAATAATCTCTAACAAAACTAAGTTGTAATATAATTTTTTGTTTAATGTCATTAGTTAATAAATATATTTTTTACGATACTTTGGCAAAAAAATTTTTAGTTTTTTTCTTTCTTTTCTTCATCTTGTTTAAGTTCAGTGTGGTTTTGTTTTAATGTTTATTTGGTTTTTTATCTTTTCATTTTTAAAGGTGTATAATCGGAATAAATATAAGTTTTATATATATATATTTTTTTTGGTATTTTTCTTTGTTAATTTTCTTGTAATTACTGTGTGTAAAATACTTGGTTTTTGTAGTTGAATATAAGTAAGTGTTGTGGTATGTCTGTAAGTGAGTTTGTGGAAAAAATTTCAGGAATATTTTCTTTAATGCTGGAGTCTCATCTGTAAGAAATAGAGTTAAAAAAAGGAAATACAAAATTAGAAAATGTATTCAAACGGTTTTATAATAAGTCTTAATGTATTATAGTTTCATTATAATAATTTTCATTATAATAGGTTGTTAGGCATTATAATACAGTTATAATTAGTCCCTTGCATTATAATGGTATAATAATAAGTTATAGTGGATTATAATATCATTATAATAAGTTATAATAGGTTCTAAGGCATTATAATTATACGTTTGCTATTTGAATACGTTATAATAGATTATAATGCAATTATAATAGGTTACACTGCATTATATTGCCATTATAATAAGTTATAATGCATTAATATGCGATTATAATAAGTTACATTCTATTATAATGCGATTATAGTAAGTCATAATGAATTATAATGCCATTATAACAGATTATACTACATTATAATGCGATTATAATAAGTTATAATTGATTATAATGCCGTTATAGTAAGTTATAATGCATTATAATAAGTTTTAATAGATTACAATAACATAATAAGTAATACTGTATTATTATACAATTATAATAAGTTATAATGAATTATAAATCTATTATACCCTTACAATTGATTATATAGCATTATAATGACATTATAATAAGTTGTAATACATTATAATAAGTATAAAAGGAATATATCATTATAATGGGTTTTAATAAGTGAATGAATTATAATGTCATTATAACAGATTATATTACATTATAATGCGATTATAATAAATTATATTTGATTATAGTGCCGTTATAATCAGTTATAAGGCATTATAATTAGTTTTAATAGATTACAATAACATTATAATAAGTTATACTGTATTATTATGCAATTATAATAAGTTATAATGGATTATAATTCTATTAAACTCTTGAAATTGATTACATAGCATTATAATAACATTATAATAAGTTGTAATACATTATAATCAGTTTAAATGGAATATAGTACCATTATAATTAGTTATATTGCATTATAATACCATTATAATGGGTTTTAATACATTATAATACCAGTATAATAAGTTGTAACGCATTATAATAACATATTATGAATTAAAACACCATTATTTTAAGTCATAATGCATTATAATGTCATTGTTATAAGTTATAATGGATTATAATGCCGTTATAATGAGTTATAATGCATTATAATATTATTATAATAAGTTTTAATTGATTACAATAACATTGTAATAAGTTACACTGCATTATAATACAATTATAATAATATTCAACGGATTATAATAGGTTTTAGTGGAATATAATACCATTATAATGATTAATAATACTTTATAACACCATTAAAATAGGTTATTATGTATTATAATAAGTTATAAGGCATTATACGCAATTATTTTTAATAAAAAAAAATCCAAAAAATTAGTTTTCTTTTAAAACTCACCTATTTGTTTGTTATAATGATGAAATATTGTTGTAATTAATATATATTTTTTGATAATAATTAATAATAAAAATTAATGTTGACTTCCCCTCTTTTGAATAAAATATTTTTTTTTGGTAATTTTTTTTTTCTAATTTTTTTTTTTAAATTTTTTTATGTTTTTTTGTAATTTTTTTTTGCATTTTTTTTTTTTTTTTGAAAACTTGATCGACGTTCTAACGTTGCCAGGGAAGCAAATTATTGTGATGATAAAGGCGGGGTTGTTGTTGAGTAATAAGAGGATTAATAGTAGTTGAATTAGTAGTCGAAGAAGTAGAGGAGGATGACGATGATGATGTTGAAGATGATGATGATGAAGAAGAGGAGGAGGAATCAATTTGTAAAACATAAAATTGCATAAATAATTTAGTGAATGTTTGTAGATTTAAAGAACTGTGAAAATAATGTAACATTTGAAGGAACTCCGATTGTTAATAGGGTCGACTGGCATCTTTGGGCCGTTTCAATTGTACCTTCAGTCTTTTCATGCCAATCTGAAAACCATTCATGGCCTGAATGGCCGCTTGAGCGCTGGCAGGATTATCAAATGAAACGAAACCTAGCAAAATAAAAAAATAGTTTAACAATTATTGGGTTTTATATTTTTTTTAAAGTAAAACCTACCAAAACATTTGCTTTGATTTGTAGCACGATCTATAAATACTTTCGAACTGATCACATTGCCAAATGGCAGGAACATTTGCATGAGCTCAGCATCACCAAATTCTTGTGGCAAATGATATATGAAGAGATTACAGCCCTCGGGACCCGAAATCGAACATCCTGGGAACATCAGAAAATCTTTAAAGGGGCACATGTCATAAAAGTAGAAAGAAAGAAAAAAACAAACGAAATTTGTTTTCATATAATAATAATGATGAGAAAATCATAAATGATTAAAAATCATGTGGGGGAGGGAAAAGGATTTCTTTATTTTTTCCGATAACTTTTTTAACTTGATAGGAAAATAAATGATTTTTTTTTATATATTTTTCTTGAATTATTAAATAATAAATAATTTTTAATTGTTGTTGTTGTTTTTTTGGTTTTGGTTTATAAATGAGAGTTTAATCAAATAATATAATAAAATAAAAATTATATTTAAAATTACAAATAAAAAAAAATAACGTGTGTTTGAACTAAAAAAAAAATTATAATAAAATATTTACTTTAACATGCATAAACAGGCTTTAAATAAAATGTTTTCTAAAAAATGTAAATATATAACAAAATAAAACATTTAGTTGTTGTTGGTATTTTTTGTACAATATTTAAAATAAATTTGTTTATTTAAATAGAAAAAAATTATATATTTTTAACATAAAAAACACTCAAACATTTAATACTAAAACACTTACACAAGCATACATTAAACAAATTATTTTTTTTTGTTATTAAACTAAACAAAAAAAAAAAAAACATTAAAATGTCATATAATTCTTATTTGTTGTTGTTTAACAACAATACCTTTACATATTTGTTAAAACCATTTGGGGTTATTACAAATATTTATTAAGTTGTGCCTCATAAAGTGGCACAAAACATTAAAAAGTTGATTTATTTTTTGAGAATTTTTTTTTAACTATAAATTTTTTCTTATGCAGCTTAAAGCCTGCCCAGTTATAAGAGTAAATGACCATTAAAACATAGGTTTTATTTCCAATTCAATAAACAAATGTAATAATATTGTATATTTGATAATATAAAAAAACGGGGGTAAAACACATTATTGTTATTAATATGGAAACAAATAAGTTGTTTTGCAAAAAATAAAAATTGCAGGAAAAAATACTTAAATAGCTTTGGTAAATTTATTATACCACCATAATTTAGCTTGAAAGGAAATTGAAATATTTAATCATTTAATTTAAAAATTATGTGTGTTGCGTTGTTTTTTTTTTCTATTTATGAAGCGCAATTTAAGTTATATGACATTTTTTTTTGTTAAAGTTGGGTTATTAAGTGTATTAGTTTTTCATAAAAAAGGATTTGAAGTACAAAATGTGATGAAGAACAGGAAATTATAACATATAATATGTTATAATGAATTATAATGCTATTATAATGGGTTATAAAGTATGATAATACGATTATAATTAGTTATCCTGCATTAAAATCCAATTAAAATTAGTTATATAGTATTATAATGTCATTATAATTCGTTATGTAGCATTATGATCCAATTATAATTGGTTATACAACATTATAATCTAATTATAACTGGTAATACAACATTATAATCGAATTATAATTGGTAATATAACATTAAAACCGAATTATAATATATGCAAATGTATTATAATGTCATTATAATTATTTATACAGTATTATAATATTATTATAATTGAATGTATAATATTATAATCCAATTATAATTCATTATGCAGTATTATAACGCAATTATAATTTGTTCTATATCATTATAATCTAATTATAAATGTGCAAATGTATTATAATGTGATTATAACTAGTTATTATGGCTTATAACCTAATTATGATAGGTTCTAGGAAATTATAATCCAATTATAATAGGTTATAACGAATTATAATCCAACTATAATAGGTTGTAGTAAATTATAATCCAAGTATTATTGACTTAAACATATAATAATCCAATTATAAAGTACTAAAATACAATACTAATTAGTTGTACAGTATTTTAATTTGTTACATATCGTTATAATTGGTTACACAGCATTATAACCTAATTATAATATGTGGTGATGTATTATAATGTCATTATAACTGGTTATTATGTCTTATAACCCAATAATAATAGATTATAATAGGTTACAGTGAATTATAATTCATTTATGATTGGTTATATTGTATTATAATCCAATTATAATTAGTTATACAGTTTTATAATACAATTATAATTGGTTATAACGTATTATAATCCAATTATAATTATTTATAAAGTATTATAATTCAATTATAATAAGTTATACTGTACTACAATCCAATTATACTAAGTTATATAGTTTTATATTTCGATTATAATTGGTTATTATGTTTTATAATCCATATATAATTGATTCTAACGTATTATAAACGAATTATAAGGGTTTATTATCTAAAATAAACCAGTATATGATATATTATAATCTTATTATAATTAGTTATAATGTATTATAATTCAATTATATTAGTCTTTAGTGTATTATAACTCTATTATAATTAGTTCTAAAGAATTATAATTCAATTATAATAGTTTTAAACGTATTGCAGTCCAACTTATAACTCCAAATCCTTTTTTTAATTTCATTAATTTCTATATATACTTTCAAATAATAATAATAACTAAAAAAACAAAATACAAATATTTCATATTTATTCAATTTACCTAAAATAAATAAAATAACAAAAATGTTTCTATAATAACAAAAACAAACAATAAACAATTAAAATTTATCGTTATTATTTATATTAATCAAATATATATATGTATATAAAGAAGAAGAAAAAAACTCAAAATGTTAAACAAAATTTGTATAGAAAGTTAGGAGCTTACCTTCACGTGGAGCGGGTGCAACCGCCGCTATTGGTGGTGGTAAAGCTTGTGGAATATGTCCATAAACGGCGGGAAAGGCTGCATTATAAATAATTTTGTTTGGTTTTACACAAAAATCGAAACATTTAAAAGACAACACAACAATTAAATATATAAATATTTATAATAATTTATATATATTAAAAAAAATTAAACAATATTTAATTAAAAAAATAAATACAATATTTATATTAATAGAAAAAATATGTATAAAAAAAACAAAACAACAAATCATATAGATTTTACAAAAGAAAAGTAAATAAAAAAAAATTATTTAATAAAACAATTAAAAATTTTATTTGTTTTGTTAACATTTATATAATAAAATATTTAATAATAAAAATATAACAAATAACATTTAAAATTTATTTGTCAATTAATTTTATCTGTATTTTTTCTGTTTTCAAATAATTTCAAAAAACATTTAAAAACATAAATTAAATAATTTTTTTTTTTTTTTTAATATTAACAAAAAATTTTTAATATTTCTTTAAAAATATATGACATGTAGTTAAAAAAACGAAACAAAACTAAAAGCTTTAGAAAAAAAAACAAAGCAAAACTTTTTGTTGCATTAATTAATAGTTTCACTTTATTCTTTTTTTGTTTAAAATTGGTTGTTTGATGTTTTGTTAAACAATTTTACTAGAACAATTAATATTTATGGCATGACACAACAATTATAATAATAAGTTAAAAAATATAACGAAAATTAAAACAAAAAAATATTAAAACATAAATACTAATAAATGGTTAATGGGTGATTTCTATTTCTTTTATGTTTTATATAACTTTAAATAATTATTTTATTTTATTAATATTTTTTTTTTTTTTTTTGAATGAAAGAAACTAAAAATTTTAATATATTGCATGATTAAATTATATTAAAAAAAAAAAAAATTAAAAGAAAATATATTTTCTAAAAGCTATTAAAGAGAAAAAAAAATATGTTGTGTATAAAATTATGTTACTCACCAACTCCAGGGAATGGTGGCATGCCAGTGGCAAAGGCATGTTGTAAAGCAGCTGCTTCACCATTTGGCAGGCCTTGGGGTGGTATAGTTAAATGTAGAGGTGCTGCAAGTTGTACCAAAACTTTTCATATTAATAAAATTGTAATCAATATAAAGTTAACAGTATGAGGTTGTTGTTGGTTTAAGGGGGGGTTTTTTGTTTAAAATTTTAAGATAGGCAATGTTATAAACCATTATAATCCAATTATATTTGTCTATGGAATGTTATAATCGAATAATAAATTGGTTATAATGAAATATAATCTAATTATAATTAGATTTACATTATTATAATCTATTATTAATTGGTTATGCAGTTTCACAATCCAATTATAGTTAGTTATAATGTATTATAATTCCTTAAATAGCATTATAATCCAATTATATTTACTTAAACAGATTTATAATCCAATTATAATTAGTTATACTGTATTATAATCCAATTATAATAAGTTATAAAGTATTATAATTTAATTATAATGAGTAATACAGTTTTAAAATTCTATTATAATTAGTTATACTACATTATAATTATATTATAATTATTTATACTGTATTATAATCCTATTATAATGAGTTGTACAGTTTTATAACCGTATTATAATTGGTTGTACAGTTTTATAATCCAGTTATAAAGTATTATAATCTAATTATAATTACTGAAACTGTTTTATAATCCAATTATAATTAGTTATAAAGTATTATAATCCAATTATAATTACTTATACAGTATTATAATCCAATTATAATTAGTTATACGGTATTATAATCTAATTTTAATTACTTATACAGCATTATAATTCAATTATAATGATTTATACAGTATTATAATCCAATTATAATTATGTTTACAACATTATAATCCCATTATTAGTTGTAATGTATGATGAACCAATTATAAATAGTTATAGTGTGTTATAATCCAATTATAATTACTTTTATAGTATTATAAATTTATTATAATTTGTTATAAAGCATTATAATCTCATTATAATTCGTTATAAAGCATTGTAAACTTATTATAATTACTTATGCTTCATTATAATCCAATTTTAATTGCCTTGCATTTACTTTCTTAAAATTTTAAACAAAAAAATGTTGATAATTTTAAATACTTACGTCCTGGGAATGGTGTCTGTGGTGGCATCCCATTTGTAAAGACACCATCAGCCGCAGCTGCAGCAGCGGCGGCAGCAGCAGCACTGCCAGGCTGGCCATTTGGTGTCTGGGCACCCATTTGAAAATTGGGCATGGTCGGTGAGGGTAACGATGGCTGACCAGCACCATTAATGCCTGGAGGTATTTGAGTGGCCAAAGCAGTCATGGGATTCATATATGAACCAGGGGCTGTGGCAGCGGCAGCCATTAAAGCAGCTTGTTGTTGCTATAGGAAAAAAAAGCGAAAGAAAGAAATGAAAAAACCATTAAAATTGTATAAAGAAAAATTTACTTACCTGCGCATAAGCTCCATATGGACCAAATTGATTAAAGACAAATGGATTAAGCAGATTCATATGACCGGCCATTTGTTGCATACGCCGTATTTGCCTTTCTTTTTCAGTATCAGCAAATTTAACTACCAGACTAGAGGAAGCACCCTGTAATTAAATGCAAAAGCAAAAGATATTTAATTGAAGCTATTTTATTAAATGAAATCAAATTTGAAATTTTCCTATAAACTGCTATTTTAATCCCTGTTATTATATCAGCATTTTAGCTTTTAATTAAACCCTCTAATACGAAAAAAACATTTTAATTATATTCTTAATTTTGCCATACAATTTATTGTCCACAAAAAAAAACATTAAATTAATGATTGAATTGAATTTAGTTGTGTTGAAGCATTAGAGTAGAATTAAAATGTTTTGTTTTTATAACCGGCCATATGGTAAATTATGGTGTATTTAAATGTTTGAAATGCATATAATAAATATTTTATATATACGCATATATTATTTAGTCATTATTATGCTAATTAAATTTCCCTATAAACATACATATGTACATATGTATATGTGTAATAGAGAAAAAGTAGAGAGAAAAAAACATTTATTCTATTGTTATTTTGAAATTATTATCAGAAAAACATCATCATTATTATTATTATGATAGACAATATAATGATTGATATTAAACAATAGGAAAAAAGGCTGTTGAAAACATAAATTAGAGGCTAAAAGAATAGAAAGGTGTTGAGAGAATCAAGAAAGCTCTACAGAAATGATTTTTTTTTTATATTTTGTAAATTATAATATGCTATAATCGAATTAAAATATGTTATAATAAATTTTTTATTGTTATAATCAATTATAATTAAATTATAATCCATTATACTTGTGTTATAATAAATTAAAGCCGTTATAATGCTGTTATAATCCATTATAATGCTATTATAATGAGTTGTAATACATTATAAACCATTATAATGTTTTCATAATGTAATATAATTAATTATAATGAATTATAATCAATTATAATGGCTTATGAACCATTATAATGACGGTATAATAATTTTATAATTAGTTATAAACCAATATAATGTATTATAATCCAATATAATAAATTAAAATCCATTATAATGGTGTTATAATCTATTATAATGCTGTTATAATCCATTATAATGAATTATAAAAAATTATAATGTATTATAATCCAGTTATAATGAATTATAAACCATTATAATAATGGTATAATATATTATAATCCATTATAATGATTTTATAATTAATTATAAACCACTGTAATGTATTATAATCCATTTTATTGGTGTTATAAACTATTATAATACATTATAATCAATTATGATGGTGTTATAATCCATTATAATGATATTGTAATCACTTACAAATCATTATAATGTATTGAAATCCATTTTAATGTTGTTATAATGCATTATAACGGTGTTATAATCATTATAATTTCTTATAATCCAATTATAAATGTAGTTTAATAACTTGTCCCCTGCCCGTTACATTCGATTTGCTTTTTCCACTATTACTTAACATTCTTCTGAACTTTTAATGAATCATATTAAACAAAAAAATCGCATTTTCAACAACAAAACATCCCTCTTATCATTATTATCATTACATAGAAAATTTAATGAGAACTGTAGAGAGGGTGTTGAGGCAAAACACAACAACAAAAAATTCTACACATAACATAATCGGATTACAAATCAGAAATTGTATAACTACAACAAAAATTTTATATATAATATAAATTCTATAGAATACATACAGAAAAACAATACCAAATAAATTCTAATTATTTTTCCAACATATTCCTACATAGGCCATGTTATTTATATAGACGCAATTCAATGGTAATTTATTGTACTTAAATAAGGTAAAATAATACCTACTTGATTAATATAGAATTTGTAGTGAAATGAAATATTTAGGTTTGCGCAACTCAAATAACAAAATCATTAAAAAGGAGAATTTGTTATAAACAATTTATTTGTTGGAGCTAAATTTGAGGAAATTTAAGAAAAGTAGAAAATTTTGAAATAATTAAAGGAAATATTTTATATACATATTTTAAGTTTACAAATTTAAGAAATTTTTCTATGGCTGTTTAATATTTTAACCCTGAAATTTTATGTTTATATAATTTTCAAGTTTCCTTAACATGCAGAGCGAATATTTTTTATTTTTATTTGCTGTTGCTAGCTAATTTTACACAATTTAAATTATAGTACTTTATGGCAACACCTAAAAGTATGCAACAGTTTTTAATACCACAACAAAGTAGTCCTTTGGTAATATAAATACCGAAACAGGAGTTGTTGTAGAGCCTGCTGCAATGAAAAACAAGTAGCAGTCGTTTGTTTATTATAGTAGTAGTAGTGGAATATATAGAAAAACCACTGTCATGTACGACATACGAATAATAATTTTGGCACGAAAGCCATGTTAACATGTCCCCTGTGTATAAAAATGGTAAAAGTAAAACTATATAGAACGACAGACAGACACAAAAACTCATATTAATACATATAGTAAAGGCAAAAGAGCAGGCAAAGCTAGAGCAACACTCATACATTAAATGCAACCAAAAGGCGGCAAGTTGTAGCGTTACTTCCGTACGCAAATGTAGCTTCAACATTTATGTGATTGTAGATATTATGGAAAACACTTTTTTTTTCGTCCTGCACAAAAAATGATAGGGACCTCTTTATGTAGGTTTGTAGTAGCAGAGTGTGTGAGTTCCTATATTAAGCCAAGTCAATGCCACTTTTCTGTATGCAATCAGTTTATTATGTTCTCTATATATACATATTTTGTTTTTTGCTGCCGCTATAGCTGTTGTCATCATTATAATGTTTACTACATGCTAGTCCGTCCTGTTATAACCATTTTCCATAAGCTAAGGCTTCTGTTTTTTTTTTGGAGGGTAACAAACACCAACCAATACTTTATATAGAATATACAACAGTGCCAACAACATTAAGAACAGCAACAAAATACCAGGCAATGTTATAATAATGCCGGATATACTTGCGGCTTGTTCAACCATTAGTGAACATGTAATGTGAACATAGCCTCGCGTAATCACAGTGTGTAGAGTAGTGTAGTTTATTTGCCAACAAAATTTACTAAATGTATGAGTAAAGGTAGTGGAGAAAATATTAAGGACATAATGTAAAAATGTTGCTTTTAAATAGGAAATATATTATTTAAATTGTATTTGAAAAGCTAAAGTCCGCCTAAAAGTAGGCAACGGTTTTTGTTAACATTTACCTAAACGTAGGCAACAGCTTTCATGTACATTTTTGCTAAGAAGTATACAAAAACTTTCATGTACATTTTTGCCTAAAAGTAGGCAATATTTTTCTTATAAAGTTTGCCTTAAAGTAGTCAAACATTCGTATACTTCTTCGCCTAAATGTAGGCAGTTTTTCAAACATTCTAAAACAATTTCCGAAGAAGCTTTTTGTATTTTTTCCTAAGATATGGGAAAGTTTTTCTAAGCTTTTATAAAAAAGCTTTTAGATAGGAAATATATTATTTAAATCGTATTTGAAAAAGCTAACGTCCGCCTAAAAGTAGACAACGGTTTTTGTTAATAACATTTACCTAAACGTAGGCAAAAGTTTCCATGTAAATTTTGGCTAAAATTAGGCAAACTATTTCATATACATTTTGCCTTAAAGTATGCAATAGTTTTCATATAAAGTTTGCCTAACAAGTAGGCAATATTTTTCATATAAAGTTAGCCTAAAAGTAGGCAAATTTTATACAATCTTTTTGTAAGCTTTTATAAAAAATACTTTTTGATTTAGTCTACAATGGGAATTTATAAGTTAAGCTTAAAAATATACTTTAAACCCCCCAAAGTAGACAACAGTTTTTAAATTTTAGAACCACATTAAAGCCAACAACCCCTGTATGTATGCTTTACAAAGACCAACAGGTTTATTTGTTAGCTGTTCACGTTTATAATACTCATATCATGTGATTTTCGTGTTTTTTTTTCTGTTGTATGTTCCTTATTCAAATCATGTATTTTAATACATTTTATGGAAAAATGTTTGCATATATCCCAGGACTCAAAGCAAACATACTTTAACATAGTAGAAATATACATATATTTCTATATATGTATGTATGTAGCCTCAAATATGTATAAACGAATATTTTAAAATAATAGAGTGGGTATATGAGTGTGAGTAATATTTACTTTGGTGTTGGCAACATTTAAAATAAATTCGTGCGGATTTTATTTTTGGCGGTCTCAGACAAATTACTTTTTAAATGCATTTTTAGTATAAACATTTAATATTTGCACACATATACACTTATACACTATTACTGTACTAGTACATGTGTTTTTTTTATTTAAAATATTGTAAATGTGTTGAGATAGCATTCAATTTATTTATCACTCTTTCTCTCTCTTCCCCGCAAAACAAAAACGAAAATCTGAAAATTTGTACGGGATATGTAAATATGTAGACATACGTCGTATGTGTTATAATAACTACCGGTTTTAGTTTGTGCAACACACACTTACAAAATATTTTTGTTGCAACAATAAGACAAATTGTATGGTTTGGTTTTGTATACAACATTTTTATCAACTAAATTTTTTTTCCCAAAATTTTGCCGGGATTTTATGCAACGGGTTTATAACAATAAATGAATAAAAGATTTGTGGTATTTAAAAAATTGTTAAAAAATAATTTGTGACAAATTTAAAAGCATATGTATTATGTGAAATAATTGGTTAGACACAGGACAGAGTGCTAGCCAGTAAGCAAGCTATTAAATATGCTATAAAGTATGCTATAGTTTTTGTATGGTAGTTTAAACAAGATTAATCTTAATGTGTTGATAAAAAATTGTAATAAATTAGTTTAATAAAGGATTTTTTTAAAGCATTAACATATAAAGCAGGTTAAATATTTGGCTTAAATCATTTTAAACACCAGAAAACTGGAACTCAACTAAAACTGAACTAGAAGTGAACTAGAACTGAACTAGAACTGAATAGAACTGAACTAGAACTGAACTAGAACTGAACTAGAACTGAACTAGAACTGAACTAGAACTGAACTAGAACTGAACTAGAACTGAACTAGAACTGAACTAGA